AAAACAATATGATCATCAACTCCAATCGTGCTCGCTATATTTTTTCTGTAATCTACACGCAAAAATACGTAAGTATACCAAATATGAACAGTTTGGGTTGAATATTACACAGGCACACAAAAAAAAAAAGTTGTCTGTTTCTTGAACTAGACATATATTTCCTATAGTATTTTGGACCGCTGAAACCGAATCTGAGCTCAGAATTGCTCCATCACCCTCAGTTTTTTTTTAAATCGAAAAACCACCCTTAAATAGTAAAATTCAAATTTAAGAAGTAAAAAAATATTATATTACCGGCTTTTTTTAAATACAGAACCTAACATGTATGTAGTTTTGCTCTACTAACTCAAAAAATAAAGCCAGCATTGATTCATTACCCTCTGAATTTTTTTAAATGGAAAAAACTACCCCTAAAATCTGAAGAATCAAATTCAGGAGGTAAAACAATAAAATAACTGATTAACAAATTTTATAACAAGGTATTTTTACTCCAGCAAGGCAGAAACAAAGCCAGAAATACTCAAAAAAAAGCCAGCATTGATCTATCACAATCTGAATTTTTTTAATAAAAAAAACTACCCTTAATCTGAAGAATCAAACTTAGGAGGTAAAACAATAAAATAACTGATTAAAAAAGTTCATAACCAGGTATTTTTACTCCAGCAATGAGCATTTCTGGCTTTGTTTCCGCATTGCTGGAGTAAAAATACCTGGTTATAAACTTTTTTAATCAGTTATTTTATTGTTTTACCTCCTGAATTTGATTCTTCAGATTAGGGGAAGTTTTTTCCATTTAAAAAAATTCAGAGGGTGATGGATCAATGCTGGCTTTATTTTTTGAGTTAGTAGAGCAAAACTACATACATGTAAGGTTCTGTATTTAAAAAAAGCCGGTAATATATTTTTTTACTTCTTAAATTTGAATTTTACTATTTAAGGGTGTTTTTTCGATTTAAAAAAAATTTAGAGGGTGAGGGAGTATTTCTGGCTTTGTTTCTGCCTTGCTGGAGTAAAAATTTCTGGTTATAAAATTTGTCAATCAGTTATTTTATTGTTTTCTCTCCTGAATTTGATTCTTCAGATTAGGGGTGGTTTTTTCCATTAAAAAAAATTACTATGGATCAATGCTGGCTTTATTTTTTGAGTTAGTAGAGCAAAACTCCATACATTTAAGGTTCTGTATTTAAAAAAAGCTGGTAATATAATATTTTTTTACTTCTTAAATTTGAATTTTACTATTTAAGGGTGGTTTTGCGATTTAAAAAAAATTTAGAGGGTGAGGGATTATTTCTGGCTTTGTTTCTGCCTTGCTGGAGTAAAAATTTCTGGTTATAAAATTTGTCAATCAGTTATTTTATTGTTTTATCTCCTGAATTTTATTCTTCAGATTAGGGGTAGTTTTTTCGATTAAAAAAATTCAGGGGGTGCTGGATCAATGCTGGCTTTGTTTTTGAGTTAGTGGAGCAAAGTTTCGTAGATGTAAAATTCGGTTTTTTTAAAAAATAAGTTGATTTATTTTTTATCTCCGAAGTGTGAATTTGTCCGTTTAAGGGTGGTTTTGGTCGATTTAAAAAAAACTGAGGGTGATGGAGCAATTCTGAGCTCAGATTCGGTTTCAGCGGCCCAAAATACTATAGGAAATATATGTCTAGTTCAAGAAACAGACAACTTTTTTTTTGTGTGCCTGTGTTATGTGCGCTAGGGAGAATAAATCATTTTTTTCGAAATTTTTGATTTTTGCTTGACAACGCTATGTAAATTGATCCGAATCATGTTCGCTATATTTTTCCGTTAGTTTTCACGTAAAAATACATAAGTGTACCAAATTTGAGCTCTCTATGTAAAAAGATGTGGCAACCAGAGGGGGGGGGTACATGCCTTTGCTTCACTAGTCTCATTAATAGGGTTCCCCCTTCGTGTACGGGAACCCTAAAAATGGAGAAAAAATTAAATTTTTTATCTGCCAATATTAAGTCTCTTCCTCTTAATAAAAAATAGAGATTTTTTGCCAATAAAAATTAGGATTTTACCCCCTTCTCTTTACAAAAAGAAAAATACATTTTTAATGGAAATTTTCATGAAAAAATAATTTTTTAATCAAAAATATTGGTAAAATAAATTAATTTTTTAATCAAAAATATTGGTGAAATAATTTAAATTTTTCATCAAAAATATAAGTGAAAAAAATTAATTTTTCTATCAAAAAAAGGTGAAAAATATTAATTTTGAACGGAAACATTGGTGAAAAATATTTATTATTTAATCAAAAATATTTGTGAAAAAATTAATTTTTTTATTAAAAATATTGTTAAAATAATTAATATCTTATTTAAACCAATATTATTGATTACAATATTACTTTTTTTGATAAAATAATACATCATTTTGACCAATATTTCAAGTAAGAGCTTTTCTTTTTTAAAAAAGGTGCTGAAAATATTTTAAGAAAGGAAAAGATGAGTGCTGCCACCCACCTTCTAAAAAGCTCGGCTATATTGATTTTATCGACAAATTCTTTTCATGTATTTTAGGTTATGTTTATAAGCTGTCAATATTTAATTATCGAATTGCACATTGTCTTTGATTTTCTGATATTTTCATTTTCAAATTAAATAGTGAAATAGTCTTCGCAATTACACTATTACGAAAATAACTGAAAATAAATCGTTTATTTTTCAGTCGATTCATTTCGGCCATGATTAATATAAGTTGATTAAATTTTTTGCATCAAAAAATAAGACCGCTTCATGTATCATTTCTAAAAATGATTTACAAAATGCTCTCATTTTGATATAACTTATGTACATCAAAACGTTGCAACGATTTGATGCTGTTTTTGGTCTCAATTTGATACTTTCAAGAAAACTGTGATACTTTCGGCCATATCCAACCTCCCGCCAAGGTTTCTTTAAAATATGAACAGAAAAGTATCTTACGCGGTTGAAGGCCTCATCATCATATTACCTGAACTGGTGCTAATAATTACACCCAACTTTGTCCGCAGAATACTTTCGGACATATCCGACTATTCTCTGCCAACTTTTCTTTAAAATATGAACAGAACAGTACCTTACGCGGCCGAAGGCTGCGTTCATCAGGTTACGTGAAATACTGTTGTGGATACCACCCGACTTTGTCCGCACTATTTTTCCATCATTTTTGCTTCCTCGTGGAGGAAGCTGTGTAGCCCTTTCGTTTATAAAATTTTTAAACATGGTATAAAAAAATTGTTATATGAGATCCTGATCAATTGTCCGGATGTATGTATGTGTGTGTGTGGATCGTTTTTGTGAACACTATATCTTTAACAGGTTTTAATGGATTTGAATAAAATTTGGTAGGCTTATTTATGTTAGTTATGGTTTTTTGGATTTTTCTCGAAAGTTAGCACCCTTGGTAAAAAATGTATACAATATAAAATGTGAGTTTTTTGAGACCTACAACTTTTGTCTGAAACATTTTTCAAAATTTTGCCTTTTTTATGAGTTAATCGCAAAAAATAATGATTTCATGGTGTTTTTTTATAGATTTAACACGATAATCAAATTTGCGCCAATTTTTACTACCATTTTCGTAATCAGCGCATCAAAATATGTTAATATACTTAGAACTACCAAATTTCTCTATAGTTATGATGTGCACTGGTTCTTCATCATTTGTTATGATTTTTATGGTTTTTTTTATTTTTCTCGTAAAATAATTACTTCTGGTAAAAAATGTATACAATATAAAATGGGAGTTTTTTGAGACCTACAACTTTCGTATAAAACATTTTCCGAAATTTTGCGTTTTTTACGAGTTAATTGCAAAAATCCATTATTTTATGGTGTTTTTTATGGTTTTTATCATGATAATCAAAATTTTTCCAATTTTCACTATCATTTTCTTATTCAGCGCACTAAAATACGTTCATGTACCAAGTTTTATTAAAATTGGAGGTACCCCTACTTCGGAAGTATATCCAATTTTTATTTTCTTACATACATGTGAAGAAACGACTATAAAAATGTTAAGAAAAATATATTAAATTTATACTAATTTCTCGTGGCAGGAAGGGGGTTACGACCGAAATAAGTAATGTAAACGTCTTATATAGTCCCCTATTTAGGTATCCTTTAAGGAATCCTTATAGGAATTTTCAATAGGGTTCAATTTTGTCTACGAGATAGACGTCTTATGGCGTTCTATTTCAACGCCTAGGTAGATCTTGATCTAGACATTAAATAGATCTTCGTCTAGACGTTAACTTTATAGACGTCGATTAGACCTTTCATTTCTTGCTAAGATGCATGACTATTTTCAAAAAAATTTTGAGTTTACCGACGTCATTTTTAAAATATTGAAGTAAGGGAAATAAAGTCAATTCATATCCCAGGGTGAAATGAAAGGTCTAATCGACGTCTATTTAACGTCTAGACCAAGATCTAGATAAGGTCTAAATCAAGATCTACCTGGACGTTGAAATAGGACGCCAGAAGACGTCTATAAACATTTAGGTTGTAGATGTAGAAATTGAAGAAAATTCCTTTAGGGATTCTTTAAAGGGTTCCCTTTTATAGGGAACTCTATAAGACGTCTATAATTATGATTTCGGTAGTACCCCCCCCCGCGAAAAATTAGTATAAATTTAATATATTTTTCTTACATTTAAATATTTTTAAAGTTGATTTTTAATTTAAACTTATTATTTAAAAGAAGGTTAAGTTTTTTCTTAAAATTGTATAGTAATTTCTTTACATATATACGTAAGAAAAGAAAAATTTATTATCATGCATGTGAATTTAAAATTTGGAGAAAAACTGTAAAAAATTTATTTAAGAAAACTAAAATTTTTGGGGTTGTTTCGGTCGGTGTCGGTCGTTCTTGAAATTATTATAATATGAAGGATTGTGATAAATTTTACGCGTAACAATTTTCCGTCATAATTTAGAGAATATGTTTCTTTACTTAATGCGGCACGAAAAATACGGAGATCATGAAAATATATTTTAAATACTCACTGACTTCTTCTTTAGAATTATATGTGTAATCTGTATTTTCTATTATAAGATTTTCCATTCCTTCAGGCATTATTAGGGGTTTTGTAATTTCTAGTAAATGTAAATTTGGCAGTTCTGCAGCATCAACTGAAGGATCAAATCGTCCTACAACTAAACGTGGTGGTTCTGTGAGAGATGTTTTCATCAATACAACTCTATTTTTTCTTACGTCAAGAACAGTCAAACTGCTGTCATCATTTTGAACTTCAATTAAATTCTTCGTTTCTACAAGACAATAAAATAAAGTTGTTATAGCTAAATGAATTTAATTTTCATACGAGAATTATAAGAATTATAGCTTACCAAGATTAACCATATAAGATTTAACATTATATTGTTGAGGAGAACTCAAGAAAACATACATGGAATCATTACTAAAACAACGCCGTGGAAGACTCCTAGTGTATAGACCGCAGAATTTTTTATCATGTGCGATCGAAATACAATTAGGAACAATATCAATAAGTGCATCTGTCTGAAAAATAGTAAACATATTTTGTTTAATTCGCAGACTTCATAGCATAAAATTTGTTAAAAAAAAGGGAAATAGGTGAAATTTTATTTGAAAAAGGGGTATAGTAATTAATTTTTTTTTAAATGTCATTTTTAATGTTTTATAAATATGTGAATTGCATACATCTAATAAAAAAACGCTTTTTATTTTTTAAACGTATTTTAAAATTAATTTTCGCAAAATGAAAATTACTTTTAAACTAATTTTTTTTTTGAAAAATGTAAGTAATTTTTTAATTTATCAAACCGAAAACCGTCTTTTAAAATATACAAAAGTTGATTTTATTCATATTTTTCAATGAAACTGAAATTTTTGACTTCTTCAAATTAAATTTCAAAATTAATTTTCTGTTAAAAAAGGAATTACAAAGAAAGTATAAAACTTTAGAACGAGAAAGTAGTCGTTTTAGTCTATTTTCATTACAACAAAGAATTTTGAATACTTTGATTGATTAAAGTTATCAGAAATAATTATTTCGACAAAGAATTTAAGTTAAAGATTTAAAATAAAGAGGGGGTCCTTTATGTTTATTTCATAAATATTTTGCTTTCTCATTCTGTAAAGCAAAAAATTTTCTTCCTCGTGAAGAAAGAAATGAATTTCTCCAATTCAATTAATTGATTTAAAACATTTCGAGATAAACACTGATTTAAATTAATAAAACTTTTTGAAAAATTAAGAAAATTTTAATTAATTTTGGGTGTAACGTATACTTCATATATACGAATCGATTCGTTTCAATGCGAGGAATAAAATTATTTTATATATAAACTTGAATTTAAATAAACACAACATTTTTAAGCTTAAATATGAATTTTTGATTTTTTAACTTTCATTAATTCTTTAAATTTAAATTAATTTTATACTTTGTATGAGGCATTCTTTGTCAACGCGGACACCCCCCTCTCGCCCAAATTCTTTTCATTTTAAATTCATGTTTAATGGCTTAAATTTTAGTTAAAGGAATATACTTTTGAAATCTGAGTGGCATATTTCCAAATACAAGGGGCTAAAAAGGCCTCAAACATTACTTTTTAGATTGTTCAAAATGAATTAGAGTAACTTTTTATTGGTAAATTTAAAGAATAACCTTTATATTGGATCCTATATTTTGTTTTTGGATATATGCCACTCAGATTTCACAAGTATATTCCTTTAACTAAAATTTAAGCCATTAAAAATGAATTTAAAATGAAAAGAATTTGGGCGAGAGGGGTGTCCGCGTTGACAAAGAATGCCTCATATATATATACCAATCGATTTGTGTTAATGCAAGAAATAAAATTATTTCATATATAAACTTGAATTTAAATAAACACCAAATTTTTTATCTAAAATTTGAATTTTTGATTTTTTAAATTTAAATCAAATCTAAAATATATTATTTTTATTATTATTATTATTTTAATATATTCTACTCTTACCTTCTCATCTGTTTCCCATTTGACACGCATTAATCTTTGACATGAGTGATGTGTACTTTCCAGATCTCGTTCCAACCACACGAGAGTTTTTCCATCCGGACTAAATCGTGGAGAACGTGCACAACAACCATCGGTCGATATTTTTCCTTACATTTAAAAACAGAAATTTGCTTAAGGGGACAGTTTACTTACGAGTTTTGTTTTTGAGAGAAAACAAATAAAATATTAAGATCAAAATATTCTCATTTTATTAATATGTTCTTATAGTTTAAAAATGTATTTTTTGTTACAATATTACATAAATAGTTCATGTTAATATTTTGAATATTTCACGGAAATATTCAAGGATTAATACTGCAACATTGATTATGTCCGTCATATGGAATATTCCCTGGCGGATTTGATTTACCTAACTTCGACACAGCTGGGGCGAATCTAAGTCGAATTTGAGAAATTATCAAAAAAAAGCATTTAATTGTTGAAAATTTTTAAAAATAAGTATTGGGAGGGTAAATGAACATTTATTGAGTTAATTTTTGCAAGAATTTTAATTATTAAAGTGATAAATAATCACTTAATATGTGGAAGTGGTACGTATCTAAAGATTTTAACTCGGCAGTTTTCACCATATTTTCAAGAAATTAGTGTAAACTGTGTGAAAAAATAATTTTAATTTAATAGAAATTTCAAATTTTATTAAATTATTTTATTATTTAAGGAGTACAGTTCATAATAATTGCAATTTAATTAAAAAACAACATTTTTCTTAAAAGTGGCAAGAACTCTATTACACCGACCACTAAACAGTGTCAAAATAAAAAATTTTATTTTTTCTTTATTTTTGACGACTCGAATGAAAATTATGATACTGTTTAGTTACATCCCCTAAATAAAAAGTGTAGTTTTTGGTCAATAAAAATTAGGATTTAATCTTCTCCTATCTTCAGAAAGAATGATTTCTATTCATGGCTTCAAAAATTGAAAATGGAGAAAAATTTAATTTTTAAATTGCAAAATAATAAGCATTAAAAATAATTTGTAATCTATAATGCAAAAGAACTTCAAAATCTTCAAATTGCTTAATGATACTGTAAAATATAATATTTACATAAATCCTTGAAACATGTGATAAACTTGTATACAGAAAGAGATGGTATAAATAAATATTTAATGAACAATGTATTTGCACATATCAAGTGATTATTTATTATTTATCACTTTAATAATTAAAATTCTTAAAAAATTAACTCTATAAATGTTCATTTACCCTCCCAATACTTATTTTTAAAAATTTTCAACAATTAAATGCTTTTTTTGGATAATTTCTCAAATTCGACTTAGATTTGCCCCAGCTGGGTCGAAGTTAGGTATATTAAATCCGCCAGGGTTGCCTGGTAATATTCAGGCTTGTCAATATTTCAATATTGCTGTGAACACTAATTATATCGACATTGTGTCACAATATTGCATTAAATATTGCCTCAATATTGCAACTCAGTGGAGATATAATTAGTTTTGGCAGAAATATTGCACAGCAAGATTCCCTCAGTATTGCCGAAAAACATTATCTCAATATACCCTGGCGGAATAAAATCACTCAACGTCCACTTTGTAAAGTAGACATTGAGTGGACATTGGGTATAAACTTGGTAATTCGCAAAAATAAATGTTAAAATGACAAAATATGAAAAATTTGAGTTGCAAAAGGTAAATAAATATCCAGAGACTCAATTCTAGTAATAATTGCGTTAAATAAAGCATTAAATATTAAAAAATTAATATAAATTGTGCAAAGTAACTTGTCGCATGTTTACATTCTATTGGTTTTTTTATTATTTCCAATAAATTAATGTAAAATGACGTAAAACTTTACACATAATTTTAAAAAATGATTAAATTCATCAAATTGATGTATTTTTGAGGTTAATTAATTAATAATAATAAAAATTATATTATATTATATATATTATATTATATTATCATATATATTATCATATTGACAGGGTGACTCTAAACATACCTTCAGAAAATAATCAATCAAAAAAAACAAAACTAATTGTATAATAAAAAAATAAGCACGCTACTTGCGAAATACAATGTATATAGTCGCGTCCTGGCATCAACTGAAAATAACGATCGTCATGTCATATTCAAATCAAAATCTATATTCCAGTAGAAGCATATTCAAGGTGACTATAGTGACATCTAAGTATTTATGCATAACTATAACTTTACTTACCGTAAAATCGAACTTTTTATTATCACATGTGGTCGGTAATACAGTTTCTATAGTATTTCACAACAATATTGAGATTAAATATAATTTTTATTATTATTAATTAATTAACCTCAAAAATACATCAATTTGATGAATTTAACCATTTTTTAAAATTATGTGTAAAGTTTTACGTCATTTTACATTAATTTATTGGAAATAATAAAAAAACCAATAGAATGTAAACATGCGTCAAGTTACTTTGCACAATTTATATTAATTTTTTAATATTTAATGCTTTATTTAACGCAATTATTACTAGAATTGAGTCTCTGGATATTTATTTACTTTTTGCAACTCAAATTTTTTCATATTTTGTCATTTTAACATTTATTTTTGCGAATTACCAAGTTTCTACGCAATGTCCACTCAATGTCTACTTTACAAAGTGGACGTTGAGTGATTTTATTCCGCCAGGGTAGCCATACAATATTATATTGCCTCAATATTGTAGCAACATGTTGTGCTATTTGGGAAAATCGTTTGCACGAAGTCTTGTCACAAAGTTTAGTATTTCCTTTTTCAGTGCAGTAGTATTAATAAGGTAAAATGGTTTGATCTTAACACTTTATGGACCAAATGTAAAAAAATTTAACTTAAAATTTGGCAATTTTTTTAACTAACAAAACACAACATAAAAAAATTGGCAATATATATTTTATATGGCCCAGGAACCACTCTTTCAAATGATGCATTAGAAAAATCCGTAAATTAAAAAATAAATAAATTACAGATAACACAGCATTACACAAAAAAAGTTCTGCCCTGAAGGGCTTACTGTGTTCACTATACGTTTTTGGAGTCGCTGAATTCGAATCTGAGGTCCATTTGACGCCATCAAATCAGGATTTTGACATAACCTCAAAAAACCAATATGGCGGACACTTTTTGGAAAAATTCATCGGATTCGCTTCACAGTAAAAACCTAGGATCAAAATGATCCGACTACCGGGATCAAAAAATTTTTTCCAATTAATAAACATTCTATATGTGTATTATATTCATTAATGCACAAGTTTAACTCTTTTAACATGTTCATACTTATATAATTTAACAACGAAAAATATCGAAAAATCTTACATTTATACAGATTCGAACCCTGCCTAACTTATATCTAAACGCAACCTAACATCGCACGCTTTTACATTAAGCCTCTCGGCCACGCAATCGCTATAGGAAAAATTTTTGTTTACCCTTCTTTAATAATGTCAATTATAAATTGTATTTATTTATTAGTTATATAAAATAAATAAGAATTTATAACGAGGCATTCGTTATACGAACGAAGTATTGCTTTCGTTCGTCGTGATTTGTAATATTATTTTGAGGGCCTTTTTGGAAAGACGTGTTTCGTGTGACAGAGCGAATATTAATGAGTCGCGCAGGCGTGATCCCGAAGGGTTTCGAATTTGGTCGGCGACGTCCGAATTTCCCCCTTACAGGTGGTTGTTGCGTCGGAGTGACGGAGAACGAGTGATGGATTTTCCAAGCTGCGAGACAAGGACCGGACAAGGAAGAAGGACCTTAGCGCGCAGTGGCGATCGAGGGAGCACTATTCATTTCGACAATCAATAAGGTGACACGTTTTCCCTACAGGCCGCGGATCGCGAGTGTACTATATAATTTTTGATAGATAGTCACTTATTGTTGATTGTAATTCACTTTTGTTTAATAAAGAATTATATTCGAGAAGATCAGTGTTTGACTGGGAGTTGGCGTAGTGGTTCATTACAGAGTGTGGAGATTTGCTGGAGGATATCGTGGGTAAGTGTGACTTCCATTGGGTTCGTTGGTCTCGCCGTTTGCATCGTCGGTTTTGGTTTGGCGGAATCTCCCCAGAGAGAACGAGGTTTTGATACAGGTTTTTCTTAATAATTATCAACGACGCGCTAGATGCGCAATATTAATTTATTTAAAAAGCACGTCGCAAATTGGCGCCCAACGTGTGGCAGCCGCCAAACAGTGAGACAGACGAACCAAATTATTTGAAATATTGGAGGCACATTTGTTGTGAAAATTTTTCCTTTGTGTGTGTGGGGACTAATCTTTTTGGGAGTGTAAAAATCGTTGGAAAATACCAGGGCCATGGAATTAAATTGCCATGTGCACGGAAGTGACGTCATTTGCAGGTAGAAAAATGGCGACGAGCGAAGCCGTCGAAATTACATTGCCGCGCAAAATTTGAGGAGAGAGTGAGAGGGGGTGGCGTCATATTTTCTGACAGGAGAGTGGGGAAAGGCCGAGTCGTCGCGATTGTCGAAGTGAACAGCGAACAAGGGGTGTTGTATGTGATTTTGAGTATTTATTTTTACAAGTTGGCCAGCATTTTTGCTGAGAATTCAAAAGAATTAAAAAGGTGTTTCTTTAGATTTTCTTTTTGAGTTCGTGAGACCGGCGGTAAAATAGTGCGAATATTTATTATTTTTTTTGTTGAAAGGGATTAGTAGCGTGGTGAAATAGTGAGTGTGAACAGGAAATTTATCATTTCCGTTGGCGTGGTTACGCCATATTAAATTTTCAGGCGTTGAGGATTTAGATGCGGGAAACGATTATTTCTTTTCTTTTTATTGTGGTTTTATATGAAATCGAACACAGTGGAACGGAATAATTTTAATTTTTTTTATTTTAATTTTTTTTTGGGCCTGTGTAGATTTCTTTAAACTTTTATTTATTCTGTTGGGGAAATAAATAAGCGAGAGATAGTGAGTGGAGTTATTTAATTTTTTTTTGGTTTTTCCTTCGTGGCGTAACTCGTAGTGAAAGATCAATTTTAATTTTAGTGGTTAAACCGTGTTAATTTATGAGCTCTGAATTTGATAATTCAGACATGGCGATGCTGTCTTATCGCCAGCATTTGGCTCTACTTCTAGA